TTATTACATGTATGGTTTGAATGTTCATTGTCTATGTATGGTTATTACATGTATGGTTTGAATGTTCATTGTCTGTGTATGGTTATTACATGTATGGTTTGAATGTTCATTGTCTGTGTATAGTTATTACATGTATGGTTTAAATGTTCATTGCCTGTGTATAGTTATTACATGTATGTTTTAAATATTTTCTGTGTATGGTTAGTGATCGTATCTGTACATTTAATTTATGATTTATATAATGTATATCTGTGTATGGCTATCGATAAACCTGTACATGCAGATGCAAACCTTAAAACCCTACATACACAAAAACATATTAAAACTAAACCCAAAACCCTACACAGAATGATACCCCGCCTACACTCTCTCACACACTCACTCACTTCCACTCTCTCACACACACACTCTCACACACACACACTCACACACTCACACTCACTCACTGACACACAGCCTCTCTCTCACACACACTCACACACACAAACAGACACTCACACACACAAACAGACACTCTCACACATACACTCTCTCACATACACTCACACACACTCTCACTCTCACTCTCACACACTCACACTCACTCTCACACTCACTCTCACACACTCACTCTCACACACTCACTCTCACACACTCACTCTCACACATACACACTCTCACACTCACTCTCACACACTCACTCTCACACACTCACTCTCACACACTCACTCTCACACATACACACTCTCACACACACTCACACACACTCTCACTCTCTCACACACACTCACACACTCTCACACACACTTACACACATACCCTCACACACACACACACACTCTCTCTCTCTCACACACACAACACACACACTCACACACTCACTCACTCACACACAACACACACACTCACTCACTCACACACAAACACACACTCACACACGCACTCACACACTCACACACACTCGCTCACACACACTCGCAGTTACACACACACACTCTCTCACACACTCACAGCCGCATGAGCAGAGTGCAGCCGATCCGCAAACACTGACCAGCGACCAAGTCATTAGTCAACTGTCGGTGCAGTGGTTTGACGAAGACTTCGACTGTGTGCGCCATACCCTCGAGGTATGAGCCATCACTGTGAGTGTTACTAAGGAATTATGAGTCATCACTGTGAGTGTTACTAAGGAAGGTATGTAATGAAACGATTCTTTCAGGGCTGGGTGTAGTTGAGGAGTGCTTTTGTATTTTACTTTTAGGGCTGGGTGTGGTTGAGGCGTTTATTTGTATTGTACTTTTAAGTTTGAGTGTAGTTGAAGAGTGCTTTTGTATTTTACTTTTAGGAGTGGGTGTAGTTGAGGAGTGTATTTGTATTGTACTTCTAGGCTTGTGTGTTGTGTGTGGTGGATGAGTCATATCTCACACGTTGTAGAGAGCTTTACCAATGCATGGTTGGTTGTGTGTCTTGTTTCGTACATCAATTTGAGTTTTATGGTTTTTTAGTTCTATATTTTTTAGGGTTTAGGGTTTTAGCACAACCCCTTCTGGAGGGAATCACCTCAGCAACCCGAAGCCTGCCTACCTCACCATCGATATTCCTCTGCGTTGTTATGCGTTGCTATGTGTTGCTATGCACTGTGTGGTGTGGGTGTGGGTGTGCAGCAACTGCCACAGGACGACACGCGGCTGTTCATCATGACTGAGAAACAGACGCAGACAGAGCAGTTGGAGGCCATAGCCGACCGATTGGGTGCCGAGTTGCTAGACAAAGGTCCTGTTTTTGGTGAGTTGTTAGACAAAGGTCCTGTTTTTGGTGAATTTTTAGACAAAGGTCCTGTTTTTGGTGAGTTGTTAGACAAAAGTCTTGATTCTGGTGAGCTGTTAGACAAAGGTCCTGTTTTTGGGGAGTTTTTAGACAAAGGTCCTGACAAATGTCCTGTTTTTGGTGAGTTGTTAGACAAAGGTCTTGGTTTTGGTGAGCTGTTAGACAAAGGTCCTGTTTTTGGAGAGTTTTTAGACAAAGGTCCTAATTTTGGTGAGTTGCTGGACAAAGGTCCTGTTTTTGGTGAGTTGTTAGACAAAGGTCCTGACAAATGTTCTGTTTTTGGTGAGTTGGGTGCACCAAGGCCCAGCGATGAGTGAAGTGGGTGTTTGGTTTATAATATTGGTTCAAGCACTGCGCTATAGATGAGGTGATCCACAGATGCGAATTGCGACTATTCCAACGCTATGTGTACATGTCTCATCACGAACTGTTGGTTAGTCATATATGTGTATGTGTTAAGTGTATGTGTAAACCCCAAACTACTCTCACTATATACCT